AGGGGGGGGGAAGCGAGGGAAAAGTGAAGCTGGGAGGAGAAGGCGGCGGAAGGTGGGGATTGATGCTTCTGTTTTTTGTTGCCGCTGCTGCCCTCGCGCTGGGAGCCGAGCCGGAGGGAAGGCGGTGGAGAGATGATCGCAGAGTTGCTGAGCAGCGCGCTGGGGCTCGCCTTGTACCTCAACACGCTGAGCGCGGATTTCTGCTACGATGACAGGTAAAGGGGGCGCCAGGACTGGGCAGCGGGCTGCAGGGGGCACCCCGCGGTGGCTCTGAAGCTGCCCTCTTTAAGGCCCCGGCTGCATCTGGGGGAACCGGTTCAGCACCTGAAGGTTCTGGCGACGCGCAAACATTGACACCTCCAGGCAGCCGCCGGGATGCGGGCGCGCTGGGCGGGCCCGGGAGTTTCCGCTTCTACTTTGCCGCAGGTTCTCTCCCTGGCCTCTCAGCTGTTGGCAGATGCTGAAGTTTCTTAGCGGAAATCCCGGCTGTTGGGGAAACTGTTTAATGAACGTATTAAAAAAGAAAAAAAAAAAAAAAAAGTCTTAGGGATTCCTTGGTGCAACAAAAAGCACATTAAGTGATTTTACGTCTGGGCTGGAAGGAAGCGGCTCCTCCGCCCCTTAATAGATCTTCCCTGTACCGTTTCCTTTTATTGATGGGACACTTTTATTTCCCGAAGTTAAAACACACGCTTGGCAGTTGCCAAAATAGTAAAAAGAAAGCTCGTTCCCTGCTTCAACTTTTTCTCTTGACGTGCACAGTACTTTGGAGCCAAAATAATGCTCCTGCCCCCCTCCCGCACCGATCGATGGGGCAAGCACTTTATAAAAGCCTCGGCTTTCATTCCTGTTTGGGAGTTTTGCATTAGACCTAGTGATTCTTTTGTGCTAATTGGGGAAGAAGACGCCCCTAGAGACTGAAGTTGTCTTCTGCATTTGGGTTAGTTTGGATAGCTAATGAGACCTGAACTGTGTTGTCAAAGAAACGGCATTGATTTCTGGAAAATGTCATCGTGGTGTTGGTGTCCCTACCTGTTTTGTTTTGTGTTTTCTTTTTTTTTTCTTTTTTAACCGTAGCTAGTGTTTAGAAACTGATGAAAAGCTCCTGTAGCCATGAGGGAAAATTTCAATTTGTGCCTTTCCGGTGCCTTAATCTGATTACAATTAAAACAGATGCATAATTAAAATATATTAGGGAGAACAGCACGCCTGGCCAAACTTATTAACCGTCCTGGGGTGTTTCATGCTCCATTGAAATTAAACCATCCAAAAAGTGAGCGCAGATTCACTTTGACAGCCTTTCTGGGCTATGGGAAGTGAATGCATCCCCAGGGTTAGGGTGAGGCAGCGAGTGAACTTGAGCAAAGTGGTTGACAGTGAGGAGAGGTGAAGGTGGAATCCTCTCCTGGTGGTCATTCGCCGTATTCTGTACTCTCAGGGGCCCCACTCTCCTGCAAAGGGCACGTTTGTGGATATATATACCTTAAATCAGCAACTCTTGGTTCACGCCCACATGTCTGTTGTGAAATTCCCCAGATAATAGGTACGCAGCATCCAGCAAACCCTTCTTAAGGCATTTTATGTAGTGCCTATCAGGGACTGGTTGTTAGGAAACCGCTGTTGGACATAAACTTTCCCACAACTTTTAAGCAGTGCACTGATTTCAGCAGTTATCCTACTTGCTCTGAGGACGATCTGTGTGTTAAGAAGGAGGTGAACTGCTTCCCTTCTCTCCAATTTTGTGTGATGTTATTTCTAGCTTATTGGTGGAAAAAGTCTTTGCTTCCAAAGATGGGTGACTTTTCACTAAAACAAACTCAGGGGTGAGTCTGGGAAGTCACTGGCTCTGTTGGGGACAGTTTGAATAGTAAGCTCTTAAACTCAGAATACTGAGCTTATTTAAAAAGAAACTTACTGCCATACTGTGACTGTTGTGGAACACTGTGATAAACCAAGCCTTTCTATTGTATGGTCTTGTTAATTGCTGTCCAAATCTTAAGAGAGTACATGTCAGAAGAAACAATTTTTTAAGAATTAAGGCTAGAACCAAACTAAATTTAGGTGTACATTCTTCCATAGGTCAGATGCTCTTGAGTCATCGGTCAGAATTGTTAGGACTTTGTAACTTGGGGTGAATGATGTGTGATGATAAATTAGGTGTGCTTTGGTGGTTGCTGTAAGTTCTTCAGATGCCGGAGGTCAAATGAAGTGTTAACATTCCTGCCTTCTACCTTCTAACTACATAGGAGAACTTAGTATGATGATTTGCCCATATCATCTAATTGATAGCATGCTCAATATGAGCTAAAATATTGTATGTTGAGGGCCCTGTATATATGAATTGTACTTTGCTACAGTATGAAAAGCATATTTTATGCATAATTTCTAGTACCAGAACTGCATGTAAGAATGTGAAATCTTAAGAGTAGCAAACTTTGTTTTTATGTATCTGTAGCAACTATGAGCTACATGTTAATAGGAGCACTGGACTTTTGCATTTGTTGTATGCGTAGCATGGCAAAGTGATTCGCTGCTAAGGTACACTATATATTGTGACTTTTGGGATGTTTTGTCTCTTTTGTAACTCACTGGCATGTGGAGGGAGTAAAGGGTTTGAGAGGCAAGTGAAAACTGTTAAGATGATGATTTCGTTTTTCCGTTTCTGACTGCAAAGATTCATGATGAAAGTGTTGCTTGAGCTAGATCTGAGGATTCTGCTGCCCCCCCGGAAATTTTGTGAAATGCAGTTCTGTTAAAAGAAGCCAGTGCTGGAAGCGAAGAGACCAGTGTTTAGGCTCTTATACCTGAGTTGCTTAACAAATTCTGGACCCTGCATTTTCGCCTGAAGAATCTGGCATTTACTTTAGGAGGGCTTTATATTGCTTTAGCTTAAATGTTATTGCTGTGGTACTTCTGAAAGTTATCATTTCTTTTAAATATAGTGATCGAGTTTACTTTATAAACTATATATGTAATTACTTTCCATGTTTGATGTAGCTTGGTTGAACTTTAATGGTAACATGAAACTTTCTTACAACAGAATCAATTTCTCTATGGTAAAATTTAATATTTTATGAGTGTTTCTGTGCTAAACTTAAGAACCTGCCTACGATATGATGAAACAGACAGTGGATGAGAAGAATTCACAGTATCTGATGAAAAAGTATATGTGGTTTCAGCTTTCCCCACCCTTCCTTTGCCTTCAACCTAGTAATGACTGTATTGAATCTCAAATTGTGGTGAGAGTAAAATTGAAATAAAAAATATGGAATCTTTGCCAAATTTAAAGTCATGTTGTATGTTACTCTTTTAAGGATTGTCTCTTATTTTCTGGAGAAATTTGGTGTTTAAGTCAGTAGAAAAAACTTGCTGACTCCAAATTCTCTGCTTTCTTACATATTTGTTGAGGATGACATGGCATCATTTTTTTAATTCATCTTTTTAAAAAATACTATTGTGAATTTCTCGTGAAGATAACACTATGAGTCAGTTTGTTTCAAAGCAGACAAAGGTACACCACAACTGTTCTTTAAAAGTCTGATTTCACTTTGCATATATCATCTAATTGATGACATGCCCTTTATTATTTTCAGACAAGTGAATCAAAAGGTAATAAAACTTCAGTTTGTTTTTTAATTCTCACATGAATAAAATAATTCATTAGTTTGAAGGAAAAAAAAAAGACAGTTTGAAACTTTGGAAGTGGCAAATGTATTTGTGGTTCCTTTGAAGATTTTTTTCTCTATTTTCTCTTTTGCATTTGTTAAAACCAATCACAATCATTAATGTTACCCAGGGGTCTCTTAGCTATTCTATTGCTTAATATTTGCCTGACACTTGGAAAAACAACTCTATAACAGAAATTTTTACTCTTGATTTAAAACTGCCTGACACTCCCAGTTTTCGCACACTCAAAAGCACACTATTTAGCTCACTCAAAAGCACGTTATTCACCTAGTTAATAGCACACTGCTAGTTTAGTTTTTCAGTTGGGTATGAATGTAAGTCTCAGTTTTTATAGACACACTGGTTAAGATTTTTTTTATCATGATTTTGATTAATACTATTTAAAATGAAGGGATGGAAAATTTAAGACACATTCATTTTTTGAAAACCTGTTTTTTATCTAAAGATGTTTAACTATTCTTTCTATTTGTCTTTTGATGTTAGTTTGGATTTTTGACCTAGTATGGGTGGTATCCTTTGTGAAATGATCAATCACTCTGTTCATATCTCTCTAAAAAGTTCACTCTAATTGACTTGCCGTGGAGAAATCTGGGATTGTCATCTTAAAATTAAAAATTCTGTGTGTTTAACCACTGAAGGCAGGCCTGGCATTTAAAGCATGTTTAGAAAGAATTACTATAAAATTAAGTTGGAGAGAAGCTCCCTTTTGTCAGTGGGTGTCTCATCAGGTTATTATCAGAAGACAATGTGTGCAGGAGTATTGTCTTATTCTTCAATTTCCTTTCCTATTTTACAATACACTGAAAAAGTGCACTGGAATACAATGTGTAGTCTGAATTATTTTATATGCCATTTTATTTTCTAGCTAAGTTTTAGATGTGTAAATGGACATATTTGGAAAAGGTTCGTTTTGCTCTTTTGAATAAGTCCATCTATCAGTAAATTAAAATTAGGTGAAGTCGGTATGGATGACTTTGCCTTACCTCCACTGAGCCTGTCACATGATATTTATCATAGCAAGTGACCCAGATACAGACATTGAATGGACATGTACAAATGCCATAGGGAAAATTGCTTGCCAGCCATCTGTCTTTTAGTTGTTTTCATATATATGTTCACACACACACACCACACATACACCGACACACACACAACCACGATCATTAATTTACACTGGTGATTCCGTGGACTGTTGTCTTGTCCTCTAAACTAGTTTTTCAATGCTGATGTGCCCTTATGGTAATACTGAATTCTCTGCTGCTACAATTCTGAAATAGCTACAACTTTTTGAATTCCAAAATGAGTTAGGAGCATAGTTTATCTTCCTAATGTCTTTGTTACTGTTCAGCTCACACTGAATGCACTTGTTTAAAATGCCTGTGGTGGTGCAGCTGTTTTTCATAGGCTAAGGGTGCATTTTCCCTAAAACAGGCACCTTCATAATATTAGGAAAAGACAAAGTTTACCCCCAAGGCACTCTGAAAAAAAAAATCTGTGCTGACAAACTTACTTTCTTTTAACTTTATTA